GAGTTTTAAACTTAAGGTAAGGTAAGAGTCTGCTTCCAATGTGGAGAATGTACTGTCCCAAGCTTTGGGGGTTTATGCAGCTGTTTTCAGAGATACTTCTAGGGACCTGTAAATTTTCAGTTCTTCCAAGGTGCTATGATAAGGGGCAAGGTGTTTCCTCTCCACAGCCACAACAAGCTCCACCATGTCAGCGCTCCTCCTAGCCCCAGGACTGCCCCTCAGAACTGTGACTCAGATCCAAGCACCGGCAAAGCAAGAGATTCCTGCCTCAGCTCTGACAAAGAGATCCCTGCAATCCCCCTCTGATCAGCCACTTGATTCCCCCTCAATCTGTGGGCTGCATCCCCAGGAGGCAGCCGTGGCCCACGTTCGGGACTTGTGGCTCAAACCTAGCTTCTAACTCTTACCGCAGTCACAGAGTTTTCCCACTGACCTTCTAAGTTGTCTTTGCCATTTGTGGGTTGAGAAGTCTGGAAACCACCACAGCTGCCAGCGATTCAGTCCTCTGGGGCCTGTTCCAGGTTCGCTGTGCCCTGCGCACCCACACCAAACTGCACTCCTCTCCCTGCCCGGCATGATATACCTTTCTGATCAACCATCCAGGTTGTCTTGGGCTGGAAATTTCTTTCACTCTGTCTTTTTGTGGATTCTGCTGCTTTAGAATTTCTTTAGAGCCATTTTTTTTACAGGTATTTGGAGGGGTTTGGCGGAGAGTTCAAGCAAGTCACTGCTTTCCCTCTGCCATCAGAACTGAAAATTTTTAAAAATGAAAGTAAAAAAAAGAATGAGATATACATTTGCAGATACTACAAAAGCTGTTTTGCTTTACTATGCTTTTTTGTTACTCAATGCAGGGATTATGGGCTGAGAACATACTGGAGGGTAGAGAGATCAGAGGTAATAGTGAACTGGAAGAACAGGGTTAGATGTTACAAAGCATCAGGAAAGGTAGAATGACAATAAGATCACAATCAGATAAAGAAACTTTAGAATTCATGAACATGGAAGCAGAGTATTTTCAGGTGAAGGCAAGTTGAAGGGTGTATCTACCTCTAATCCATCTCTATGTATGGCTAAAGTGGAATTAAGTAGACTAGAAAACTGGCAACAAAATGGAAAACTGGGATACCTAAGCTGGGAAGGGCATTTGTTGTTGTTGAATCGTTTTAGTTGTGTCAGATTCTCTGTGACCCCATTTGGGGTCTTCTTAGCAAAAAAACTAGGGTGGAATGGTTTGCTATTTCCTTCTCCAGCTTTTTTCTCCAGGGTTAAGGGACTTGTCCAGGGTCACATAGCTAGTAAGTATCTGAGACCAAATTTGAACTCAGGTCCTCCTGATTGCAGGGCCTGCACTCTATCCACTGTGCCATTGAGCTGCCAGGGTATTTGAGAGAACATCAATGTTTGTTTAAGTTCCCTTGTGTGAGGGCAGGAGTTACAATGGAGCTACACATTTAACTCATTGAGGGAGGGGGAAAAGAATTTGCTAGAAATTGTCTGCTAAAAACCATTAAGATCTATATTGGATGGTAAATATGGATAGCATGAACCTCAAAGGAGGAGAGGTTGCTGAGGGCAGGTGAATCTGGTAATGTAAATGGAGATCAAAGAGTATCCTGACTCCACCACCAGGACTAGGGAGTCAGGAGGATATGAGAGAAAGTGTTGCCAGTGCAAGAAAGGGTGGCTAGAGAACCAATATCATCAGGAGGAAGCAAGGTCTCAGTGAGTACCAAATGATGGAAGGAGGAAGAAAGGAAGAACTTTAAGATGAAAGGAAGTCAGCTCATTATGGAGCAGGTGTTCCAGAAGGCACAGTGGAAGAGGTGAGTAGATCTAGAACTAGTCACTGAATGGGATATAAGGTGTTTAGGAATAAGGGAGGGGATACTTAGGGTAGGCTATTAGGTTTGTTCACTGGCAACCAGAGGTTCAGAATCACCTGAATGCAAAGAGTATAAAGGGATAGGAATATGCTAACAGCTAAGGATTAAGTCCGGGCAGAGTATCAGTGGATTGGGACAGATCCAGGTGAGGGAGGCAGATGATTTAACAGTTCAAGATTATTCCTCAAGGGCTGATCTTGTGGCAGCTGGTGTTCTTGAATCATCTGATATCCCTGGAAACCTGTCTCACAGCAGGCAGGAGCAGGAAGAGGTATGACCTAAGGAGTCTGGAAGTCTGGTCAGGAGTCAAAGTGCCATTTTATGAGAATGGTAAAAAATGGAAAATGACAATTATTAGAGGGGATGTAGGAGGAAAAGCACATTAATGCATTGTTGGTGGAACTGTGAATTGGTCGAACCATTCTGGAAAACATTTTGGAACTATACTCCCAACATTACTGAACTGTACATACTCTTTGACATAGTGACAACTACAAATATACTAAAAACTCAAAGAAACAAAAGATCCATCCATATAAAATATTTATAGCAACACTTTTTTTTGAAGCAAAAAACAAAAAACAAAATAAAGGGGGCACCATCAACTAGGGAATGGTCAAATTATGGTATATGAATGTAATAGGATATTATTGATCCATAAGAAATAATGAAAGGGATGGATTCAGAAAAAACTGAGAAGATTTTTATGATCTGTTACAGAGTTGAGTAGAACCAAGAGAATAATTTATATCATGACTACAATATTTTAAGGAAAACAACTCTGAAAGACTTAAGAAGTCTGATGAAAGTAATATCACCTCTCAAGAATAATGATGACTTACGCATATTTCCCATCTCTCTGCAGAAAGAATGGAAATCTCAAGGCACATTCAGCAACGAGATAAATACTTTCAGATATAACCAATGTGTGAATTTGTTTTACTTGACTATACTTATTTGTTACAGGAGAAAGAGGTGACAAGACAGTGACAAAGATGAAAAAGAAAAAGAATACAAATGAAACATTTAAAACATCAACAGAATAGAGATTCACAGTTTTTAATCAATCCTCTTTTTCTATTCTTTGTTTATAAAAATGCTCATGTTTATTAATTTTAAAATTCATAATAAAAATTGAAATAAAGAAACTAATCATATGCTAGGGCATAAAGAACTCATAAACAAAATGAGAGGGGTAGAAATACTACACACATTTATGTTTCTAAACACTTGCAGAAAAGAAGGAAAGAGAAGATAAATAAATTGTATAGGCAACTGAAAAAAAAAACTAGAAGATCAACAAATACTCTCAAGTGAACACAATAATTAGAAATCCTGAAAAATCAATGAAGAAACAAAATGGAAAACAAAAAAAGATAAATAAAATGGGAAAAAATTTTAAAGACCAATAAAATAAACAAATTTCTAGACAAATTGCTACAAGAAAGAAAGGAAAATCACACTAGCAAAATAAAAATTAAAAAAGAGAATTCACAGTGATGGAGAAGAATTAAAGGAAGTTTTCAGATACTATTATACCCAATTATATGTCAACAGCAAAATTAATGAATATTTACAAAAAATATAAATATCTCAATTAACAAAATGGAAAATAAAATAGAGACTCAAAATGATGTGATCTCAGAGCGTTAAACTGAGCAAGCCACAAATAATCCCTTTTATATAAACTATTCATAAAATTGAGAAAGATCCCTTACCAAATTCTTTCCGTGAGACAAATATGTTCCTGATACCCCCAAACTAGGGAGAGAAAAAGTAAAAAAAGAAAACTATAGACTATTTTACCGTAAGAACTACAGATGTAAAAATATAAAATAACGTAGTAATAAGAAGGTTAGAGCAATATGTTTTTTTATATCCAGGTTGGATTTATGCCAGAAATGTTGAAATGATTTGACTTTGGAAAAATTATAAATTTAGTATATCATATTAATACTACAATTAATAAAATTGTTTAGATTAATAGATGCAGAAAACTCCAACCAGCATAGTATTCACTTATGATAAAATTACTAAAAAGAATAGGAATAAAGTACCTTTCACTAAAATGATAAACCCAAGACACATAGTGGTTAAATTTAACAATTCCAATGATAAACAACAAATTCTGTAAAGCCACCAGGAGAAAAACCTTCAAAGGTAAAGAAAAGGAAATTTTAATCACACAAGACTATTCACTCTCTAGAAACTACAGAACACAATGGAAAAATGTATTCTGAAAAGCAAAGGAACTCAAGATGTAATCCAAAATGACATACACTGAAAATATGAACCTATCTATGGGGGAAAAAAAGACAGATATTCTATAAAAAAGAGATATTTGAAGCATTTCTTAAAAAAATGGAATTGACTATTATTGAAGTGTTTTGCCTGACTACACTTTTTTTTTGTTTTTGTTTTTGTTTTTGGCTAGGCAATGGGGTTAAATGACTTGCCCAGTGTCACGCAGCTAGTGTCAAGCGTGTGAGGCCAGATTTAAGCTCAGGTCCTCCTGACTCTAGCACCAGTGCTCTCTAACCGTTGCACCACTTAACTGCCCCCTGACTACACATGTATAGTCTATATTGAATTGCTTGCCTTCTCAATGAGTCAGGGTAGGGAGGGAGGAAGAGAGAGAATTTGGAACTCAAAGTTTTGAGAATGAATGCTGAAAAATGTTTTTGCATGTAACTGGAGACAAATAAAATACTAAATAAATTTTTAAAGAAGATTTTAAAAATGTGAGAAGATTATTTGATTTCCAAATACTCCATGAAAGAGAAACACAAAAAAGTTAAATAAGTACAGTTGCCAAAGAAAGCACAAGCAACAAAATAAATTATCTCATATTTAAAGACTATGGGGAATTGGGAGGGAAAGCTAGACAGAGAAGGACACCTATGGAGACGTGACAGTGATGGTTTTTTTGGGGGTTAGGCAATAGGGTTAAGTGACTTGCCCAGGGTCACACAGCTAGTGTTATGTATCTGAGGTCGCATATGAACTCAGGTCCTCTTGAATCCAGGGCTGCTGCTCTATCCACTGCACACCTAGTTGCCCCAACAGTGATGTTTAAAAAAAAAAGTATCTGTTAAAGAAAATAAAGCAACTTACCCACTCCTCCCAACGTGCTATCTTTTCTGCTGTTTCAATAGCCTCCCTATGCTCCCGCTCTGCCTCCTCTGCAGCCTCCTTTGCTAGGCGTTCCTCCGCAGCTTTATGTTCTTCTTCTGCTTTTTCTTCATCTGTTAAGCCATAGTTTCGAGGCTTTCCAATATCTTTGATAATCTGCCCAATGGCAAGTTTATTCTGAGGATGGTCAAATCTTCCTACATCTTTAAATTTTAGAGGAAAGAAAGATCATGGGTGAAATCACATTTCTGTGTATTATATGCACACTCAAGTGTTGCTCTGCTTTTGGAAGTATAGTATAGAAGACTGGTCTTCTTTACTCATTTCCTGGCTCCTGAAACATTTACTCTTTCATGGCCCAAGGTATGTCACTTCATTTCTCCCTGATTCCATGTCCTTTTCTGTAGAGGAAGAATAACTGAATGACCTGCCTCAAAGGGTTGTTGTCAGTAAAAGACTTCTTAAATCCTAAAATGTCATATAAATTTGTTAATATTTCAAATGTTTAGTACATATTTGCTAAGTCAGTATTTGTGAAAATAAGTAACTTCTAACTTTTAATTCTAGTTGCTATAACTTTTTTTTCAAATTTAAAAATATATTTTTAAATGTGAAACATTGGGAAAGGCTTTCTGAATTCTGAATAATCATTTTTAAGCCATACCAGCTACATAAAACCCTTGGGTTTCCATCGTTCAGCAATAATTAAAATGATTTACATGTCTTCATGATTTTAAAAAATTATTTATTTTAATCAGCAAGATCTGGTCTGAAAGTCCTGGCTTAGTGTGTGCTTATACCAACAAAAATCATTACAAACAAAAGTGTGACTGTGTTTGTTTACATAATGTATTTAGCTTTCAATAGTCAACAGAATATTGTATTCAGTAGTTATATTTGCTATGTGAATTGCATTAGCAAAATCATGTCTATAATGTTTCCTCAATCCAGCCCTTCCACAAATTGTTTCTTTTTTTGCAATAGTCAACCTTGGAAATGTTTTTCCGGAAAGCAAAAAAAACAAAGTTAACTATTCCCATCCAATATCACCAAATATCAACTGGTGTTTTAATAGGAAATGTTGGCAAGTATTGCATGGTATTTATTGCTTCATATCACTTATATATTAGGATATAGGACGTCACTTGCAAAATATATACGAAAGAGCAGGTTATGATTGGGGTTTTGAGGCAATGTTTTAAATATGTGGTCGTGCAGTTTATATATAATATTTTTCAATCTTCAAAATTTGGGTCAAAACATAAATCAAGAGGAGTACCTATGGGTTGCACTTAACATCTATAGAACCAACAGCCCTTATTGCATCTTTATTATGGTAATATTGCCACTGGTATTTTAAGGTAAAAGCACTACATCCTGAGGATCCTCACCCACAGATGACCTTCCATCTATTTCATACATATTTACACAGACATGTCTCTCTGGTAGAATATAAGCTCTTAGAGGGAAAGACCTATTTCATTTTTACCTTTATATCCCCAGTGACCAGTGGCTATAACTCTTAATGGAATTTCTCTTTTTTGTGACCACATCAATTCCAGTTCCTTTTCAGTTTTACTTCTATACAACTTTTCTCACTATTTGAGCTCACTATTGATAATTTCAATAATGATTACGATGATAATAATAATTTTAAAAATCGACAACCTCTTTAGCTAATAGGTTTAAGGAGAGTAAACAGACAACTCCACAGCATCTAGGTAATGTTATTATCAACTAAAAATAGGAATAAATAGGAACAAGTTCATGCTATTATTGAAGCAAAAAATCTACTGGAGCTTCTTATTTTAAAATCTTCTGGGTAAAGTCAGTGTAGAGGAGGCTGTTTCAAATAAGGTGAGCCACAAGATTCTGTGAACAAGGTCAGAAAATGTCACTCTCTCAAGCTCATCCAACAAAAGTTTACATAAAATGGTTGAGATTATCCAGCTGCCTACTTCACTCATTAGTTTGTAAATGGGTTGATAAAATGAGGGTGTTTCTCAAATTCAATCATATAGAACTGGGTTCCTAAATTATATAGAGCCACCAGGCTACTCCCACCAATCTAAGATATAACTAATATAAAGTGAGTTAATTAATTGCAATATTTGGGAAGTCTAGATAAGCGAGAAGTAAAGAATTTCTTTTTGTGTCTCCAATGTGGTCCAGGAGAAAAGGTCCCTCATTCTAATTTTAATATTTCATAGAATCAGATTTTTTTTTTAAGCTGGAAGGCTCCTTAATAATAATTTGCCCTATTCAACTTATTTAAGAACCATAAAATGAGGGCCAGGGAGAGTTAGTTATATTAGGAGCCAAGGATTAGACTGGATCTATACATAAAGATTAATCTGGCAGCAGGATGTAAAATGGTTTGAAGGAGGGAGAAGAGAGGTAGTGAAACTCATTAGAAGTCTGTTCAAATAATCAATGAGCATGTATTAAGTGTCCACTATGTTTCAGGCAGTAGAGATAGTTATAGGAAATGGACTTGTGGTTTCACTGATATAGGGAACTCCCAGATAAGGAAACTTCCTCTTCCAATGTGGTTGGGTATATTCCTAAGGAACCCACAGTCTTGGAGTTGCCTAGAGCACTGAGATGTTGTGACTTGCCCATGGTGACACAGTTTGTGTTAGAGGCAAAATTTGAACACTGGTTTCTTGGTTTTTCGAGGCCTGCTTAATAGCCAAGCTGCATTCCAATAGGGGAAACAACATGTACACATATAAGTTTATACAAAACATATACAAAATAAAAGTAGAATAATTTTGGTGGGGATCTCCAACCCTTGGTAATCTGGGGTCAGACCTCATCATTCAAATGTTACAAATGACTTCCTAATTGCCAACCTCAAGGACCTGTTCTCAGCCCTCATTCTTTTTTTTTTAAAGTGAATCTTTTTAAAAAAATTTTTCACATTAGTCATGTGAATTAGAACCAATAGGAGAAACCACAAGAAAGAAAAAACAAAACAAAACAGAAGAAAAAAAAAAGAGCAAATAGTATGCTTCAATTTGCATTCAAACTCCATAGTTCAGTCTCTGGATGTGGAAAGCATTTTTCATCGTGAGACTTTTGGAGATGTCTTAGATCCTTGCATTGCTGAGAAGGGCTAAGTCTATCAATGTTAGTCATTGCACAATGTGGCTGTTAGTGTATATAATGTTCTCCTGGTTCTGCTCACTTCACTTAGCATCAGTCCATACAAGTTTTTCCAGGTTTTTCTGAAGTCCACTTGCTCATTATTTCTTATACAATAGAATTCTATTACATTCATATACCACAACTTGTTCAGCCATTCCCCAAATGATGGGCATCCCCCCAATTTCCAATTCTTTGCCACCACATAAAGAGCTGCTATAAATATTTTTGCACATGTGGGTCCTTTTCCCATTTATATGATCTTTTTGGGATACGGCCCTAGAAGTACTATTGCTGGATCAAAGGGTAAGCACATTTTTATAGCCCTTTGGGCATAGTTCCAAATTGCTTTCCAAAATGGTTGGATCATTTCACAACTCCACCAACAATGCATTAGTGTTCCCACATCTTCTCCAACATTTATCATTTTCCTGTTTTGTCATGTTGGCCAATCTGATAGGTGTGATGTGGCACCTCAGAGTTGTTTTGATTTGCACTTCTCTAATTGACAGTGATTTAGAGCATTTTTTCATATGACTATAGATATCAGCCCTCATTCTTTATGACTTCTCTGAAGCATTTCATATTGTTGACCACTCTCTCATAGACACTAGTTCTGATTTCTCCTAGTTTTCTGCCTGTCTGTAATCTTCTCATCTCCTTTGTAGAATTCTCATCCATATCCCACTGGCTATGACATGGTTCAATTCTAGGTCCTCTAATCTTTTCTCTATATATTCTTACTTGGGATTCCATCAGTTCCCATGAGTTCCATTATTATCTCTCTACAGAGGACTACCAGATCTATATATCTATCCCCACTGTGTCCTAAACTCTATCACCAAATAGGTATTGGATAAGTCCTATAGGCAGTTGAAATTCAACATATCCAAAATAGAATCCATTATTTCCCCCAAAAACCCATCTCTCTTTTTTGGCGAGGCAATCAGGGTTAAGTAACTTGCCCGGGGTCGCACAGCTAGTGAGTATCAAGTGTCTGAGACCAGAATTGAACTCAAGTCCTCCTGACTCTAGGGCCAGTGCTCTATCCACTACACCATTTAGCTGCCCCACAACCCATCTTTCTTCCCAGCCTTCCTATTTCTTTGATCCCTCATATTTAAGAATCACTCACCACCTTTTCCTCTCTTTCACCTCCCTTCACTACCTCTCCAACCAGTTGTCAAGTCTCACAGATTCTACCCCAAATACTTGTCATATCTGTCCCCTCCTCACTACTCACATAGGCACCAACCTAGCTCAGTGCTCATCACTTGTCACACAGATGATAGCAAAAGCCTCCTAAATGGTCTTCCTGCCTCAAGTATTTATCCCTTTTAATCCATCTTCCATGTAGCTGTTGAAGTGATATTTCTAAAGCATACATTTTGCCATGCCATTCCCCTGCTCAAGAAGCTATAATGTAAACTCCTATCTTTGGTAGATAAAGCCCTTTCAACCTGGCATCAATCTACCATTGCAGACTTACTGGGCATTATTCCCCCTCAAACACTCTAACACACAGTCAAACTGTCCTTCTTGCTTTTCCTGGTATATAGCCATATCTATCTCCAGGCCTTTGCATAGGCAATCCCCTTGGCTGGAACACATTCCTACCTCACCTCTGACTTCTTTCAAAGTTCAGCTCAAGGGCTGTTTCCTATAGGAAGTCTATCTTGATCATCCCATCTACTAGTGGAGGTAAGTTTCCTTACCTCTGTTAATTCCTTCACATTTACTTTGTATGGATTTTTTCATATACATGAAAGAATAGTATAATGTAAGCTTCCACAAACACTCTTGGGTCCCCATGTGATTCAGGGACTGAAGTTTGTACAGGAATTTGCATTTAATGTATTAGTTAAATTGTTTTCCTTAAATTTTATATTTGCATTTAATTTCACTCCTTACCAATGTGGTGTGGATGGATTTCAAGTTCATCAAAATAGTTGTAAACTGTCTCATCTTCGGTATTTATATCACGATAGTTACTAAGTGACCTCAAGAATCTATCCTGGACGTAGTGGGTTCCAACTACAATGGCTTCAGGAAGATTCATGACTCTCTCCTTTAAGAATTCATCAGATGCATCCAAAGCAAAAACAAATTCTGTGAAGAAGAGAAAATTCCCTCGTTCAGTATAGCAAAAAGTCTGTTGTATATAATGGTGACCTCATATTTTCCATAACAAAATTTGGGACACATGTTCATATAAAAACTCCCCGTTGCAAAATTACATTAAAGAGCTTTCCTATTTTTCCTGAAATTACTGGGGCTGTCCTCAAAAATCCAAGGCATATGTTGAGGGGGTTGAGGGAAAGGGATATAAGAGGGATTTGGTTCTCATTTCTCATCCAACTTAATATTTCTGTAGTATTTTATACTATTTACCATCACCTACCTTTGGATAGTATCTCTTTTTGGGTTCTATGACACTGAGCTTTCCTGGCTCTTCTATCATTCCAAGAACTCCATAACCTTGGCTGGCTCTTTGTCCTTCTGAACCCTTAAATTTGACATTCCCTAAGGCTCTGTCCTTGCCTTCTTATCTCTGCCTACAGTATGCTTTGACAATCTCATTTACTCTCACTGCTTCAACCATCATTTTTATGCAGATAATGCCCAAATGTGTATTTCTACCTTTGATTTTTTTCTTCAGCTCTAAGCCTAATTGCCTCCTGGACATCGCCACTGGGGTGTCCTACTATCATCTCAAATTTAGCATTTTCAAAACCAAACTTAATATCTTTCTCCAAAGTTGCTTTTCTTGGCTTTCCTATTTGTAACATTTTTTCACCATTCCCCCAGTCATCCGGGATTCAAAAGCCTTTTCTCTCACCTCTATATCTAATCAGTTGCAAAATCTTGTTACTCCTACATCTACAGTCTCTCTCAAGCATATACCCTTTGTTCCATTTTCTGTTGCCTCTCAATACTTAATTTTTAATGGTTCAATGCACATAGTATATAGGCTTTTAAGGTTTAGCAAAGCATTGAAAATACATTTATCAGGGGCAGCTAGGTGGTGCAGCGGATAGAGCTCTGGAATCCAGCCTCAGACACTTTACACTTAGTAGCTGTGTGACTCTGGGCAAGTCACTTAACCCTGATTGCATCACCAAAAAGCCCTCCCCAAAAATACATTCATCTTATTTCATCACAACACCGAGGTGCTATTATAGTTCCCATTTTACAGATGAGGAAACAAACTCAGAAAGGTTATGGTTTTCTTGGGGCCACACAGCTAGTAAGTGTCTGGGACAAAATTTGAAGTCAGGTTCTTTAAACTCCAAGTACTGAGCCACATACACAATTCCATGATGTCTTTCTCCTCTCATTTCATATTTTAAAAACAAATTTTATTGGTATCTTTTATTTTTATATTGCCTAAATTTTTTCCAGTATTTCTCTCTTCCACTCAGAGAGTCATTCTATAGAAGAAAGAATATTTTTTTTAAGAAAAAAGAGGAAAAGGAGACAAAAAACACAACAAAACCAACTGGTATATTTAAAAAATCTGAGATGCAGTGTTCTACATCTGTGGACCTCCCAAGACTACAAAGAAATGGGAGGAAGGGGTAGAAAGTGCCTTCTCACACCTCTTCTTTGGGCCTTATTATTTCTTGCATGGGTTATTGCAATAGCTTCTAAAATGTATTCCTACCTGCAGCTTCAACACAAAGACCCTCCCTCCAATCCATTCTTTATACTAGTACCAGATAACTCCTTTTGCACAAATATCATCATATAACTTCCTCTAACCTAGTAAATAAAATATAAGCTCCTTGATCTGGGATTAATGTCCTCTACAATGTACTTCTATATTGTCTTTAATAGTCATTATCCTGTATCTTATATTATCTTTAACAGTCTTATCTCTATGGACTCTGAATCAATCAATCAATAGATCAAAAAGCATGTATTAAATATTTACTGTGAGCCAGGCACAGGGGACACAAAGAAAGGTAATGATCTAGAACAGATTGGACTGTTCCCCTTCTCCTGTATGTTTCCTGCTGTCCCATCTCTCTGCCTTTGCTTATACTATTTTCTATGACTGGAATGACTTCCATTGCATCTCTCCATCCTTTAAGACTAAACTCAGGGGCAGCTAGATGGCACAGTGGATAGAGCACCGGCCCTGGTTTCAGGAAGACCTGAGTTCAAATCCGGCCGCAGACACTTGATACTTATTAGCTGTGTGATCCTGGACAATTCACTTTACCCCACTGCCTTGGGAAAAAAAAAAGACTAAACTCAAATGCTACCTTCTCTGCTATTAATCTGTTCCCTGATCCTTTCCTTCTCCAATTAGAAATGATATTTTCTTCCTTGGTTCTTACATGGCATTTTGTTTCTGTTTTTGTTATACAATTACCACATTCTACTTTGAATGATTTTTGTGTATATATTATTTGTTGTATTCCTCTAACTAGAGAGTAAGCTCCTTGAAGACTGAGATTATGCCTTATTTACCTTTGCAGTTCCCCTAGACCTAGTACATAATTGATTTTTAAAAAATATTGGTTGCATTGATCTGGTTAATCAAATGTTCTTATTAACTATGAATTGACAATAATGATAACAGCTAAAAAGTATATATTACTTACTATGTGCCAGGCACTGTGCTGAGTACTTTACTATAATTTTTTTTATTATTTATTGTTTATTATATTATTATCTCATTTGATTCTCACAACAACTCTGTAAGGTAGGTGTTATTGCCAAAGGTTACACAGCTAGTAAGTATCTGAGACTGGATTTGAATTCATGTCTCCCTGACTCCAGGCCCTACACTCTATCTACTGTACCACCTACCTGCCCCCTAACAATGAACAGATTGCTCTCCCTTATCTATTTTTTCTCTTTCATCTAAGATTCCATAAATAAATGCAAATAATTATTGTTCTGTTTAAGAAAACCTGTATATCCTTTGTTGCCTCACTTCCTTTACCTATGGAAGTTCACCAATGTTAAGAATAGGTACACAGGTTCATGTGTTACAGATGGAAAGTATAATAATATGTCATCTTGCCCCAATACCTCATTTTGAAGGTGGGGAAACTGAAGTCAGGACCAAGGTATCAACTCACTGAAAAAACTTTCAAGTTCATGTGGACATTATTAAAACTGCCATGGTTAAGTTTATTTAACATACATAATATATTAATTTACATTTAACACTGAAATCATATTGAATAGAACTTAGTCTTTCTTTTACAATTCAAAAGATTCTTTAAGATTATAAAGTGCATATTCATATCTATTATCGTAGGACTGGTAAAGCATGGATACTCATTTAGAAATCCAGTTGATAAATAACCAGAAAATCAAAAGTTTAACATATCTAGAGAAGGCATATTTGAATATTTGGAATTATGGAGCCATTCATATTTTAAATTTAATTTTTCTATTTTTTTGATTGACATAACCTTAAGGTTATACATTTTAAGTAGCAGCTATGAAAAGAACCATACTGAAAACAGTAGATAACAGTAGCACATTAAAATGATTTGTCAATAATATAGAATGCTACTAGGCACCATATAATAACAAATTTGAATGTTTCATTGCTTAAGCTGATGCATGCTCATTAGGCTCATCAGAAAGATAAATAGAAATAAAAAAAGAATTGTTATGAGGAAATCACTTTGTAAGCCTTAAAGTGCTACATAAACATGAGTTATTATTTCCTCTCTGTATTTTGGATACTTTATCTGAAAAATGTATCTGATAGATGCTGTCCTCTACCTGCCTAACAGAGTAGTAAAGCTGATAGTAGGGTCTATAATGAACCAAAGTGTTAGATAAATGCTGCTAATTTAAATATTTCCAGGATCTATGTTTTTATAGGAATGGATGCTCCCTCCATAAGTGCAAAGCAAATCCCTTCTACATCTTTGTAGGTAGTTAGCTGTAAAAAACAAATCACCATGGAAGACAGCGTAGACTACCCAGACCTGTTCATTTGCAGATGTGAAGAGTTGTGTCAGCAACTACTGACACATACAAGTCTATTTTCTTATTCTTCTCCTTGATGAAAATATAAAAAGGGAACAAGTCAGGCTTTTGCAGATGATTTTCTACAGTAGTTCTTACAAGTGATTGAGAAAATATAAAATCCCACTATGTGTATTATTAAGTTATTTTATGATTTCATAAAATAAAACCCAATCTTGAAAACTCTCCTTAAACAAGGTTTCTCCTACCCAAATGTTAAAACTACATAAGCTTTATTATAGATGTAATTATAGTGATATTTATCTATTTAGTACTGACAAAAATATGATATAAAACAGAGAGATATAAGGGCTATGAATGATATGACTATATCCTGCACAAGGACCACTGAATAATATAGAGAAAAAATAGAACTACAATCATTTTGTAACATTTTGATGGATTAACAATGTAGGGACCCACCCCAAATCTGGTGGCCTAATAATAAAAAGGTCTCAACCCCTCTTGAAGAAAAAAACACAATATAATAAAGTATGCAAGGACACGGTGAGAATGGATGGTCTGATCCACTGCAGTAAAAGCTACTTTTTTTTGGATAAAAGACACCTGCAGCCTGCTGTAAATAGTTATCCTAACCCTGCAGTTTTGTCTAAAGGATCCTCTTTCACAATTGTAAAAGTATTTGGTTACCTCCCCTTGCCTCCTGCCCTTGAAAAAGTAATGTTTTCTCATTCTGAGAACAAATCTTGCCAGCTGTGTAGCAAATACTTTCCTAGAAGTCCACCTTTTCTCCCTTGAGTGATTCCCTTTTCTCTACCCCCTCCCTCTCCTGTGAAAGGTGTCACCTAACCTAAGTTGCTACAAAATGTTGCTGACTGAGTACTACAAGTGGATCTAAAAAGCGTAAAAACTAAATCAGTACTCTAGGAAATTGAAACTGCTATCAGCAGTTTCCTTAGCATGCTCATGTTTCTTTGTTTTCAGTTTGCCATTCTATCTTTGAACCAAGTCATTAAACCCCTCCACTGATGGCTATGCTTCTCCTAAAAGGCTCCATTTCTATTGGGAGAGAAAATTTCCCAGCAATAGCAAGGTTCTTCAAATACTAATCACAGATGACATTGCAATCATGGCACTGAGGCTACAAAGCCTTCTCAATGAAATCCCTAGCAACTACACAGGGTAATATTAGAACACATTTGAAAACCGAGCAGTGCTTGCTTGTTATCATAAGGCTTCAGCCTTTTAGGATATTTCCTGCTTCCTCTCTATATTAACAAACCAACATAGTCCTAGACTTCCTTTCTCCTTACTGAATCATGCCATTAATACCAAAGGCTTGGACATATTTTCTTAAATTGGTTTATATAGAGAACTTCAAAAACCTCTGTTTTTTATGCTTATACATTCCCTAATTTCAAATCATTTCCCCCTGAACTAAGAGTGTACTTTTAAAATTCAAAGTTACTCTTTTGGTGTGAAAAATATATTGAATAGAACTCCTTTAAAAATAATCCTGCGGAAATATTTTAAACTTACCAGGTATAGTTAATTTATCAAATGGAGGAATTTTGCCTCTAGATTCTTCTTCTTCTTCCTCTTCTTCTTCTAATAACAGAAAATCCATAGTTAAAATATGATTACTGAAAAATTGATGTCAGTAAGAATTTATACTTCTAAATAGTAATTATGAATGAAAATATATTCAAAGTAGATCACATATTCAGGAACTATTTCTCTTATTTGTTTTGATTGAAAAATTATTTTTGCAGTGAACTATTTACCTAACAAAGAGAACACTGACACTTACGATTAAACAAGTCTTTTGCTTGATCATAGGTCTTTGGGAATCCATCCAAAACGTAACCTTGGTTTTTGCACGGCATAGACCTTAGTTTTTCCTTCATGAATCTAATTACATATTGATCTTCTAAGCGACCTAAAAATAAACAGGAAATATGCTGCATATAAAGTACCCAGGTGTCTAACGTACAAAATTACAGCATCAAGATTAGCATATTTAAGAAATAGATCTCTAAAGACTTCAGCTTATTTTTCAGTAATCCCAAAATTTCAAATGAGCAGTTTCTTAGTCATATACCCTTTGTCTCACTCTACCAGCAATAAAAAATGGCACATTTAATTTTTCCTATATTTAAATTTCATACATATATACTAGATTATGACTGTCTCTTTTAGAACATCATTATTATATCTTTCAATAGTTTAAATTTTATGTCAAAGACAAAATGACTAAAGCTATTATTTTATTTAAATTTATGGAAATATTTTTCTATCACTTCCCTACAAGCTTTTATTAGGTTCAAAGAAAGAAAGATGCAAAATGATTGAGTCTTTGTTCATTAAATATTTCAAGATTATTTTTATTAAATAAATCTATTTTTAAATATTTTGTGTTTAAAGGAAGTGAAAATACTCAAGATGTTAGCAGTAATTCTGGCACTCCTTGGATATGCTTTATATATTTCTTCAACAAGCATTAATTGGTACAAAAAATGTACTATGTATTGAGCTACAGGTGATTACTTTATGCCTTAGTAGTATTTTGAGGAATGAATCCAGTGGTCTTATCTTCAAGTGACTTTATTCTGTCAAAACACCTGTCTCCCTGGATGTATACCTAACATACTTTAGACAATATCAAACTTTGTGACAGGAAGTTTTAAATTCTTGCTTCAAAGTCAATTAACAAAAGCCCAGTCGGATGACTTACAAAAATTCCCGTAATCATTTTATTATATAAATTGAATCCTAAATCAGAAAATCATTAATAAAATCAACTATGGGCTTTTATGGCCTGGCATGAACAGAAAGCCGATAGGTTTGTCTCTGAAGAGAGCTACTACATGAGTAACCTAGAAGGAAGAAAGTACTTGAGACAGATAATTAGGGAGGATATTAGTCTCAAGAATCAATCTTTCTAAGTATTATTCCCTTTTTTCTTAGGCCCAATGCAAATGCCATCTTTTTCTGCCTTGTTCCAAAGATAAACTCTTCCCTAGGATGATGTAAGCTTTTTGAAGTTCAGATGCCTTTATATTTTTTACTGTATATATTATAAAAGCCTATTAAACTATGAGTATTCATAAATATTTGACTAAAAGAGTTAAAAAAAAAACTTTTGACTTTCAAAAATCTACTAATTTATTTTGCTCCCTTCTCTGTAGATATGTCAATTAAAGAAGCATTTCCTACAGGCCTACTCTGTAAAAAGCACTGGACTGGATGCTGGGGAGACAAAGACAGATCCTGACCTCAAGGAGCTAACATTCTATTAGGGAAATACAACATGTAAATATAAATGATATGCTGGACGTGCCCAATGTTTCCCCCTTGATTCTCTGTTTAGTACCAAAGAGAAGTGGAAGAGAAACCCAGCTAGGGACAACAATCAGGGTTGTATTAGGTATGATGGAAGAACTCTTAAAAGACAACATGGAGGCAGTAGTACATGTGCATGTACATGTATGTGTGTAAGCATATGTCTCACATTCACAGGAAGGCTGCATATGAGCTGCCCATGTATGTACAGTGGCTTGGTGGGAAGTAATACTGAAGGCTACATGCTGTTGTTCATCCTTCTTCTTGAAGATGATCAGTGATAGCAGGTAGGCGATGTCTTGACTTGCAAGTGAACTGGATTTAAGTGAGGCAGAGCTGTGCAGAGTCATCAGTCTCATTCTGTCCTCCAGTGGCAAGACATAGGTGAGGACGATTGGCAATGGCCCCAGATGCAGTGGGAGACCTTGGCTTTTTTAAACTAAAGTCCTTCCAGGTCTCAGTTTGTCTGAAGCAACACCCATTCAATGGTTAAAGGCTAGGTAAGAATTAAGACAAAAGAATCCGTCTGGGAGGGGAAGACCCTTAGAGTTTCTGGCCAGAAAAGAAACAATTGCTATTTATACTTACTCTCAGCCCATCAAAATCTAAACAATGAGAAAATGAGGCTTGGGCTGGGACCTATTATTCGCCAATTAATAGGAGCCAGAATGATTTGGGTTACATGCTATCGGCTTGGGGAATATGGGAGATAATGACTGACTACATTCCTTGAGATTGATAGTGAGGAGTGACAAACTCCCCAACTAAGAGGGAGGGTAAAGATAAAAACTTTTCCCTGGCTCTCCAGTCAAGAACTGTATGACAGTAACATTTTGGCTGCTACCATGAGGAGCCAACAGAAAGCAGGGTGCTGGAGGGTATTTCCTTTCACAAAGTTGTGCTTGTGGGGACCATGCAAAAAGATTGGAAGGGGGAATCCAAAATACAGACTTTAATAGGACCTGTTGGGTTCAGCTGCTGGAGAGTTTTAATGCTATACCTTCAACTGTTAATTTCATTCAGTAAACATACTCTAATCTATATATGAGTAAATGCCTGGATAGTAAGGGAGATTTGAATCTCAGTGGGATGGGGGGCAGCAAGGTGGTAGAGTAGATAGAGCACTGGCTCTGGAATCATGAAGACCTGACTTCAAATTTGGCCTCAGACCCTTACTAGTTGTGTGACCCTGGGCAAGTCACTTACCCCTGATTTTCTATAATTTAGGTGCATTTTTTCTGCTGAAAAAAAAAAAAAAAGACATAATCTCAGATGCTTACACATTACCTCCATTCTGTTCCATGCTTTCTTTGGCTCCATCTAAGAGTTCTTGAATCTCTTCTAAGTTTTCTTCTTCTTCTTCATCATTATCAGTATCTTCTTGGCCTTCTCCTTCTGTGTCTTCTTTTGGTGCAACAAGAAGCTCCTAGATAACAAATTAGGGTTCAAATAGGATGAGATCAAAAACTGGTTTTCTTGAAAAAGTCATTTGGGACATGATCTTAATCCTCTGTCAATTACTAAATGTATCTATCTGCCAAAGTATTCTTCTGGCCCTCTTTTACCCTATTTTTTCTCTTGGCAATTTCATTCACTTCCTGGGTTTTAATTATTATCTCTATTTGATGACTTCCAAATTTGTACCTCCAGCTTCTGCCTCTCCCTCAAAAACTTTAGCCTCTCATTTCCAACAACCTGCTGGGTATCTCTCCCTGAATATCTCATTCCTACTATAACCACCTTGTTTCATGCCCCTTATCATTTCTTACCCTGGACTACCACACCAGCCTTCTAAATGGTCTTTCTGCCTGCAATCTTTCCCCCTTTTCATTCATCCTTCATATGATTGCAAGGGTAATCTTCCTAAGGCACTGATTTGGTTGCATCATTCTTCTACTCAAAAATCTTCATTTATATAGCTGGAATTAAAGAACTGCCAAAATCTGGTCTCAACCACCTTTCAAGTCTCATTTTATACTATTTCCATGTCACGCTTTTTATATTTTGGCTATAATAGATTACTCACCATCTCCCATTCTTGTCTTATCTCACTTTGATACCTTTGCTCACATTCTTTTCTATATTTACAAAAGAATCTCTCCATCCTATCTGTCTATTGAAATCCCTCCCTTTAAGACACAACCTAGATGTTGCCTTCTCCTTGGTTTAATATTATGACTTTCAGGGAAGAAGCCATAGATTATTATATACTGTTAGAACTGTAAGGGCCTTTAGAGGTCTTCCAGTCCAACCCTTTCTTTATATATACAAGGAGATAGGTCCAAAGAGGTGAATAGATTTGCTCAAGGTAAGTTAGTACCACCATCAGAACTGAAAGCCAGACCAAAGATCTATAGCTAATAAGGATTTAGAGACCATCTGGTTCAACACACTCTTTTATAGGTAACCCTTGGCTCAAAGGGCCAATTGCATGGGACTACCACTTGTAACAATTTACCTATAGATGAAGAAAGAGTTCCTGAGGCATCTTGAACTTAATATGACCCCACTGAACTTGTTAACTTTCCACCCAAACCCATCCTGTTTCCTGATTTCTCAGTTTTGGTTGATGTTCATCATTCCAGTCATCTCAATTGGCAACCTTGGAGTCAATCATCCTTGACTCTTCACTCTCTAACTCTACTCATCTAACCAGTTGTCAAATCTTGTTTCTGCCTCTTGCAACATTTCTCATTCTGATTCTCTTCTCTCCACTCACAGAGCCAATACCCTAGTTTCTACTCGCAGCACCTTTTGTAAGAAGTTCCTAATTTCCTCCCCTGATTCAAGTCTTGCCCCTCTCCAATTAATCCTCTACGTGGCTGCCACAGTGATATTCCCAAAGCATATGTCTGACAACGCCACTCAGTAGATTCCAGTGACTTCCTCCTGCTTGCAAACTTCTCTGCTAGTATTTCAAGCCCTTCACAACTTGGATCCAACCAACCTTTGTAGATTTACTATACATGACTCCCCCTCATGAACTCTACAGTTCAGTCAATCGGCTTTCTTGTTTTTCCTCACATACAACATGCTATCTCCTATCTCTGTGCCTTTGTAAAGGGTGTCCCCATGACTAGAATACATGCCCTCCTCACCTGCCTCTCAGGAACCATAATTTCCTTCAAAAAATTCCTCAGCTTCTTAAGGGCTTTCCTCATCTCTGTGCCCTCCTCCAGCTCTCCCCTCTCCCCTTTGCTGGTGCAAATTACTCTATATTTACTGTCTCTAATAGAATGTAAGTTTCTTGAGGGCAGAGACTATTTCATTTTTGTCTTTATATCCCCAGTACCTAGCACAGTGCATGGAAATAATACACACTTAATAAATGCTTGTTGATTGACTAATTGATTGACTGATTGACTTGATTAAAGTCTCACAGGTTGACTCCCAGATCAATGCTTAGTCATACTAAGAATCACTCTGATCAATCCTACCTACATCATTTATATTTTCAACAAGTCTTTAAGAACGGGGCACTCCTATCTATTCAAAAGCCTTTTAAAAACTTGAGCCCCTTCAAAATATCTTGATGAGTGTTCAGAAGAGCAAAAATAAAATTTTTAAAAGGTTCACTTTTAAAAATCAAGTGGCTTTTTAGGATAAAATAAGACTGGACCATTGTTCCCTTTTCACTTTTGTAAACCATTAAGTCCCAAATTTTTAGAATGTATATACTTGCACTTTCAGTTTAAGGCACATAGTAGGCACTTAATAAACACTTGTACCACAAATCTAGGTCGTTTATGATAAGCTTCCTCTTCCTCCTCCTTTTTCTTTAAGTTCATAGTTAGAAAAAAAAGATTTGCATAGAACTCTTAAGGGTGATTTTTAATTACATGGTTGGTCCCAATTTTTAGATTATTAGAGTTAAAAGAGACCTTGGAATCACAGAATTATATAATATCAGGGCTGGAAAGGTTCTAGAAGTCATCTAATCTAACTTTAATTTTCAGATAAGGAAACTGGGCCCCAGAAAGATGAAAAGACTTGACTAAGGTCACATAGGCAGAGGGATTTGAACCCAGATCTTATAGTTCTAAGTTCAAAGGTCTTCCTATGGAAATACAGTCTAATTTTAAAACTCAAGTCAAGAGTTTTAACTTATAAAAATCTCTTTATATTCAGTTTTTCAGTGAGTGATATATTTTTCTCTAGTGAGTTACATACTTATTATACAAAGAAAACTGCAGATTTCAAAAAAGTCAGAAATAAAAATTCAAAGCAGGGTCCAAAGGAACAAATATGAATTTACCAGCCTTGCTATGGCTTCAGTAATCACATCCTTTATTTTAATATGGTGTAATCTGTAGTGCTTGCACACTTCTTCCGCAATAGATGATTTCCCCACAGCAGGAGGACCAAGAATACAAATCTTAACGGGCTAAAAAATAAAAGAAAAAATAAAAATACAGAGTTTAGGATGACAGATTTAGATTTGGAAGGGACCTTATAAGACATCTACTTCAACCCTCTGTCACAGAGGAGAAAACTGAGGTTTAGCAGTGATTTGTTCTTGTCCAAAGGTGGTAAGTGTAAAAATTGTGATTTGGGCTCATGTCCTAATAACCTAACTTCTAAATCAAACACTCTTTTCACAACATTGTTGGTAACAACGCATTCAAGGATTAGCTTCTAAGGACTTCCAAGAATAAGTGCAATATGTGTCAGTATTTCTTTTAAAATCATAAATCTTGTTGTCCATCTTCAGAGAAAGAACTGGTGGAGTCTGAATGCAGATCAAAGAAGATTTTTTGTTTATTTTTCTTTTCTTTTTTTTTGTCTGTGTTTTCTTTTGTAGCATGACTTATGTGGAAATGTGTTTTGCATGAATATACATGTATAACCTATGTCTAATTGTTTGCCTTCTCAATGAGCGGGGAGAGAAGGGAGAGAGGGAAGGAAGGAGAGAATTTGGAACTCAAAATTTGAAAAAGAATGTTAAAATTGTTTTTACATGTAATTGGGGGAAAACACAATATTAAATTAAAAAAAATTATGAATTTCCCCAAAGTTAGTTTGTAATAGCATGAATTGAGTCCTGGGAATGTATATATAGATTCATGTTCCTTTATCATTGTGAGCTTTTCAGTAATAACCCTAACACTGATTCACAAGAGCACTTTATAGCTTACAAAGTACTCTCCTTACAATAACCTTGTAAGATAAGTTGTAGAAATATGATTTTTTTTAACAGATGAGGAAAATGAGTCTCAGGAGGTGAAGAGTTGATTTACTTTACTTGGGCCCCCAAACTGGTAAATGTCAGAGCTGTCACTCTAACTCAGCTCTTATTTGATATCTGACATTCCTGATACAGCATCAAGAAAGCAGAAGAGCTTTTAGTAGCTTTTATAGAAGTGAAATAATGACTATTTTACTTCAAGTTACATTGAAAAAAATTAAACACCTTAATTCTCTCCTTAACAATTTATACTGGTCTTCATTTCTTTGGGGGGGGTGTGTGTGTGTGTGTGTGTGTGTGTGTGTGTACACATACACACAGAAATGCTAGTGAATAATTTGGAGGTGGGGGGAGGAAAGAACACATCAGAGTTTGGTGATAAAGTCAACAGTATTTACATTTGTCCCATAGACTGAAAAAATAAAGAATTATTGATTCAATAAACATGGAACCTTATTTCTTTTTTCATAATCATGGTTTATGGAAAGAATTTGGCCTTTAATCACACCTTTTTATTTAGCACATTTAGTTGCTATTAGAACTTTAAAATGAACTCCATATTTGTAAAGCAATTATTTTTTCTACTGAAATGCCATTTTAGAAGTTTTCAGAAGATATAGCTAAGTATTCAGTCAGATAGTAATTTAGCTTAAAGAATATTATCATTTTTATAAGGATCCAGCAAATTTTTTAAGAGAAGATAGATTTTTAAAAATCAAATCAAGAGAAGCAATGTCTGTATCTCCTATGGTACACAGCAGGAACTAAGTAAGTATGTTACTTTAGTTACATTAATTATAAAATTAAGTTAATAAAAAATATAAGTTTTTTTTCAGAAGCAACTGTTTGAAAGTCTTAAAAAGTTATATTGTTCACTGGGGCTAAAAATACCAATTTTCCTAGAAAATCTCTGATAATCCTTTATTTAAATTATTTCATCAAAAATAATTTTTTTCTTAAAAAATGTTAGGACACAGTGACAAATCCAAACTTATGACAAAATATCTATAATTAGTAAATAGCCCTTAAAATGTTTGAATAAATAGTTTTTGCATTAATACTAAACAAATATTGCTAGTATATATACTATGTAAATCTTAAGCATTCTAGGGAATTAAAGTTATTTTAACAAAAAGACAACTTTACATTTTGTGTTGCAAATTCTATGAATTTGTGGACAGGAGTCACCCTTGGTTTATTGTAAAGTATGTCAATTTAACATTAAGAAAATATATCAGAATAATAAATCTGGAACTGGAAAGATCACCTAGCTCAGCTTCCCTGCTTTACTGACATCTCCAGAGTATAGACATAGCAGCTGAAGCCCTAGAGGTGAAGTTTCTAATTTGCATATTAAGTTCTCTAATGTTGCACAAAGGGAATTATGATTCCCTCATGAAAAGCATTTATTAATCTGTAGCTAAAGGAATATTCAGGGGGAAACGGTTCTTTGATACAAGAATGATTTTATATTTGTTTAGAGTGCTTACACAAAACAATAACAACATATTGGTATGATGTTTGGAATTTTCAAAGGGCTAGATTGAAAGCCAGGTGTCAATGTTACAAACTTCAAATTCTTTATTATTATTATTATTATTATTATTATTATTTTTGCTTAGGCAGTTGGGGTTAAGTGACTTGCCCAGGGTCACACAGCTAGTAAGTGTCAAGTGTTTGGTCTGAGGCCCAATCTGAACTCAGGTCCTCTTGACTTCAGGGCCAGTGCTCTATCCACTGCAACACCTAGCTGCCCCTCAAACTTCAAATTCTAATGACATTTTTTTTTTGGCTAGGCAATGGGGTTAAGTGACTTGCCCAGGGTCACACAGCTAGTAAGTATTATGTGTCTGAGCCGGATTTGAACTCAGATTCTCCTGAATTCAGGGCCGGTACTCTATTCACTGTGCCACCCAGCTGCCCCTCTAATGAAATTTTTTAAATTGCCTTTCTCCAATCCCCAGTAATCAGATGGTATACAAAGGCTAAAAAAAATACCGTTTTTTTCCAACGCACACCAAGCTTCTCTTATGAAGACAGAATCTTGATCAAACACATTAATCTAATGAAAAAATTACTTTCAATTTATGACATGGTGGTTGCTAGTGGTTCTTATTTTCTATTTTTGATCCCAATTTTTGTTACAGTTTAAGTTTTCAAATATATTGATTCCCCTGTATTGTTAGGATTAAAAAAACAAAAATATCTTTCTCTTAGTACTTTAAATTTTAAGACATTTATTTTTTACAAATCAGAAGTTTAAACAACATTCAGGAAATAATTACCAATAATCCTCTACTTTGCTTGTATTCTTTGAGGATATTCGCTATATTTTCCACAAATCCTGATTGGGCAACCCACCTAATGTTAAAATTTTCTTTCACAAATAAAGCTTCCATTCTCAAGTTGACTAACAAATGGTCAAGCTGTCCTTGCTAAAAGATAAAGAATAAGTGAATAATCAATAAGCAAATAATTACAAGGTCCCACCTAAGCTGGTAAATACTAATAATTCAGTTATTAGAGCTCCTTAATAATAATAGCTTACATAGTACTTTCTTACAACACTATAAGGTAGTTAATACAAGAAGAAACAAAATCATTAAACATTAAAATCCATGAATCAATTAGTATTTACTATTACATCAATTATAATACTATATTTCTAAAAAGTTCTATCTATATTTGCTGTCTTGTAGGTACACAGTAATATTTATTTTCTACAGGTAGTAAAATAACATAAAAAATAGGAACATGCTTAAAGACTAAAGTATTCTTAAATACACCACAGTCATACAGCTCATTCTTTAAAACTAGTTAAATTATAAAAGCAGTCCAGTAGAAGGATAAGATACAAACACAGAGAACTATAGTGAATAATGTTGTCTAAGTGTATTAAAAATTAGAGGGGCAGCTTCGGCCTTGGAGTCAGGAAGACCTGAGTTCAAATCCAACCTCAGACACTTGACACTTACTAGCTGTGTGACCCTGGGCAAGTCACTTAACCCCAATTGCCTCACCAAAAAAAAAAAAAAAGAAAGAAAAGAAAAAAAAAGAAAAGACAACAAAGTGTCAAATGAAATCTGAAGAGGAAGATTATTACCAGCTTCAGAAGATAAGTTTTCCTGAAGGAGGTGTCTTTTGAGTTTGATATTTAAAGAGGAATCATGAAAATCAATAGTGAGAGAGGGGGAAAGAGGACATTCAAGACAAAAGAAATAGCACAGTCAAAAAGGCATGAAGACAAAAGAGTGTGGGGAAGCAGGGAGAGAGGAAGAGAGAGAAAGAGAGAGAGTCAGGAGTGTCACCTGAGTATATTTGGGGTAGGAAACTAGTTTTTTCTTAACCTGGCAGCTTTATTTTTGACCCCCTCCCACCACATTTCTGGTTTTGCTTCTACTTGGGTAGGATTAAGCGAATGCAGAGGATGATTCAAAAAGAAAGAGAGAGAGAGGAAGAGAGACAGTTGAGAAGGATAGAATAATACCGCTTGAAGTCAGCAAGGAAGAATTGCATTGAGGGGAGTAATATGAGAAAAAGCTAATGTTTTAGAAAGTTGAGTGGTGCTGGGTTGTAAAGGGCCTTGGATGCTAGGTAAAAGAGCTTGAACTTTACTTGGTATGTAAAAATGAAGGCCTAAAAATGTTCTTAGCAGGGAGATGAAATGACATGAGCATATGGATTAATACAACAGCTAAGGCAGTAATGACTAAAACCCAGTAATGACTGAAGTCATTGTAGACTATGAACTGCATCAAAACAAGACCATTTAAGTATCATACATGGCACAGTGCCTTGCACTTAAAGTATTTAACAAATGATGTTTAACGAATGTTCAGAGATTGAGATGGTAGCAAGTTAGTGAAATATCAACTGATATTACCTCAACAATTCCTACATTTCTGTTTGTATTATTTGAATTCAAACGGATTTATGATTTCATCAATTCAGGAGTTCCCTCCAGTGATGCAGGTAGCCACCTATCCATGCCTGGTCTTGTCCATGCCCTCTTAAAGGCTCCTCATAGGGGGTCCCACCCACCACACACTGGAAGACTTCCTTACTTTTTCATGGCATCAAGATGTTATCAGTGAAGCACAGATAACAGTCCATGTTTTAAGCCATGCATTTACCATATAACCCATCATACAATTCTTTGTACGTGTCTTAATTATATTATAATCTATGACAATGTAGAATATACAATGTAGCATATTTACACCAAATGCTATCCTTGAACTATAACTAGTTTTTCAAAGTTTGCTTTGTCAAAGGATTTGAGTCCGTACTTATCCTGCATAATTTGTCTTCATTTTGCATCTGCAGTTCTACTTGGTTTCAACTCTATGGAACGAGACAGGGACCCCTGGTGTCACTTCCCCTTTCCTGCCTCCTTTTGTGTATCATTTCCCCCCGTTAGACTGTAAGCCCCTTGATGGCAGGGGCTGTCTTTCTATTTTATTAATTGTAACCCCAGCACTTAGCATAGTACCTGATGCACAGTAGGTGCTTAATAAATACTGGATTGGATAATTTGGAACCTGTTTAATGATAGCTTGTTTTTTATATAGATATAAAATATAATTCATATTTAGTATTTTTTAATAATCCTATTTTAAAAGAGGAAGCTAATAGCTTTATACTTACTGTTAATTCTTTGCTTAAAAATGCATTTTCTTTAGCATATTTTTGGATTTTTCCTGGACCAACATTTTTACTGATGCACTATTGAAGAAAAATAGTAATATTTATATACAATATACAATTTCATATGATATTCAAGTAAATGGAGATATAATTGAAAACCTTAAAAAGTACACTTTCAGAATTGAGGGAGATGCCTAGGAGGATGCTAAATGAAAAAGCATATATCTTGGACAAAGAAACTATAGCCAAGGGGAGGAGTGCTGACAGTCTGGCTCCCGCTATACTTGGAATTATATTTTAGCTTTGGTGAATCTGGGTCATGATCCATAATTTCAACATCTGCCTACAGATACATCCTAGTTTTTCAAAAGTGTCATCTGAGTATATTTGGGGTAGAAAACTAGGTTTTTCTTAACCTGTCAGCTTTATTTTTGCCCCCCCACCACATTCCTGGTTTTGCTTCTACTTGGGTAGGATTAAGCATATGCAGAGGATGATTCAAAAAGTAAATCCACATATATATACTTCCAAATTGATTAAATTTAGGTTTGTCTTAAGATAAAGATACAAGAAACGCTTAAAGAGTAGTCCCGGTATCTCCCACCATCCTCCAATCCACCTTCTCCCTAGAGCTGTCCTCCCTTTTAGAGTCAGCTGAGCAAAACAACCTGAGCAATGAGCATGCAAAAATAAATAAATAAATAAATAGATAGATAAAATTAAAATCTTAGGCTTTCCTTAGTTCTTGCCATGGGTATTCATCTTGGTCAGCTGACCTCATCTATTGCCTAGTATAAAGGGAGGCCCTTTACATCCCTTTATATCCCTCAGGGCACTTTTACCCCTCCCCCTAACTCCTGCAAGAGCAATTGTCCAAAACCTCCAGAGAATCCTCCCCTGTCACTGCCCACTCTGTGCTTCCTTGTATAAGCACCCCCTCCCCACACCACATCCTGCTGCCCACATCTATTTCAGCTTTCCGTCCACCCATTCTTCCAACTTCCCTACTACTGTATGTATGTAACCACAGAATTTCAGTCTCTCTCTCTTACTGTAATAAGCCCTAAACTGCAGACAAGGTTTCAAGACTGTTCCATTTTAATAATAATTCTAGTCTTTAATTTGCATATTTCTTTAGGGAAAAAAGGAATACTATCAAAATATGGCCTCCCCTAAAGTCCTACTTTGTTGCCCTTGAAGGCTGTGCCAGAGAAGCACAAGCTCTGGAAAGTTCTATTGAGTAGGACAGCTTTGAGTACAGGACTATTTTATTAAGGAGGGGTTACAATCTGCATTAGTGGAGAAAGTACCCACACTGACAAAACATGACACTGAAGTATTTTACCTTTAATATATCTTCTTGCGTATGAGAAGCTTCATCCATTGCGATTAGGTAGTGAACCTTTGGCACGTGGTCAGCTATATTTTGTAAGACACTGCAATTCAGTAAGCATAATTAATGATCACTCATAGAAAACATAACAGATGTGTACTCCCCTGAAACCTAAAACTGAAGAATTCCAAAGAAAAACACTAGCAAATACAGTTCTTACCCTATTTAAGATTGAGCTGTTTTATTTTACTATTGCAATAATGTAGTAAAGTTTAGCAATTTTCAGATATGTTCAGATAAACTGTCAAGAGTGTTCAGATATGTTGTGAATTTTAAGAGGCCAACAGAGTCTCCAGAGCTATAGAAATTTCCAGAGGTATAGGCAATATGAATGGAATAACCTTCCATCTTCTCACTGTATTCTCTTTGTTACTCCTTCCTTTCCTGCCTCCCTCTTCCTAAATCCTGGTCCCCTTTATCCCCTTCTTTCCTCTGCCTACCCTCTAACATACACACAAGTATCTGTTTTGATGCTAGGAGGAAGATTAACGTTCCAGAAGATGTTTAACAGATGTTCTGTTGTCAGCAAAATTAGTGGGAAATATCCAGATAATTGAAGTACTACAGAGAGGGTTCAGGTGGTAAGTGTTTAAATATCATTGCTCTAGGTTATCTTTACACATCTAGATGCAAGGAGGGAAGAACTAATATCCTTGCTATGTACTCATTGTACAACTGGGATAAATTTATATGTCCAAAGGAGGTATGGTGCAGGGCAAGGTGAGAGTACCTTAATGAAATTCGGCAAGTGGGTGAATAAATATACTGACTTCAAGGTGAACACGCCTACTTAATTTCTTATAGCAATGTAGTCCACAAAAAGCCATGGTTGCCTATACATTCTCTCTTTCAGTAGTGTCCTACTCTTTGTGACCTCATTTGGGCTTTTCTTGGCAATGATCCTGGAGTGGTTTGCTGTTTCCTTCTCCAGTTCATTTTGCATATGAAGAAACTGAGGCAAACAGGGTCAAGTGATTTGCCCAGGGTCATCACACAGTTAGTAAATGTCTGAGAGGCCATATTTGAATCCAGGAAGATGAGTCTTCCTGATTCCAAGCTTGGTCCTCTCTCCACTGTGCCATCTGGCTGCCCATGCATTCCCTTTAACCAGATAGATTAAGGGGAAGTGTGTGTTAGGGAAAGCAGAATATCTTGCCTCTGCTGGAAGAAGTGTATAAACATTACCTCCTACCTCAAAGGGCCTCACCTGGGGTGCAGCAGGGGAGATATACGGCATATATGAAGGACAACTAAAATTTATGCTTTTGGGGAGTGCTCAATGTGTCCCTTAAATTAGTAGTCAGATCAAGGCTATAATCACATAGGTGTCAAGGAGGGGATAGTACCCCATTTATACGTGAATATTCTATTCAAAGGAATATAAATTTTGATTGCTTATATTTTACTAGGTATCTTGGGTTTTGCGGGCCAGATTTTTTTCTTCCCTACTTATTTATTCTATTTTTTTTTAAATGGAACAATTAACTCTTTTGTCTCATGCGATTTTATTTATGATTTCCTGAAATACAGCTCTGAGAAAACAGGCTTTAATAAAGCCCATTGGGATTCAAATGGAGCTACTTGACTATGCCTTTAAACCCAAATCACTCTGGCTCTCACTGACTGGCCAATGATGGGCCCACTCCAAACCTCATTTGCTAGTTGTTTGGGTTTTGATGGGTCAGAGTGAGTGTAAACAGCAATTATTTCTGTTGTGGCCAGAAACTCTGAGGCTCTTCCCTTCCCAGAATGATTCTTTTGTGAAGGCAAACAAGGCAATCTTTTGCCTCAATTCCTACCTAGCCTTTAATTACTAATGGGTATTGCCTCAGACAAAGTGAGATCTGGGAAAGACCTTAACTAGAAAAGGCCAAGGAGTTCTACTGCATCTGGGGCCAGTCGTTCTGAACTATATCTTACCATTGAACTCTGATGACTCTGGAGGAAAGAACAAGGCTGATGACTTTGCACAGCTCTACCTCATTTAAATCCAACTCACTTGCAAGTCTCCTATCACTCTCCTAATGTTGTCAGTCCTCTTTGAGAACCAAGGATGAACAACATTTGGGCAGTTAGGTGGTGCAGTGAATAGAGTGCCAGGTTTGGAATCAGGAAAATGCACCTTTTGGAGTTCAAATCTGGCCTCAGACACTTACTAGTTGTGTGACCCTGGGAGAGTCACTTAATCTTGTTTGCCTCAGTTCCTTATCTGTAAAATGAGCTGGAGAAGGAAATGGCAAACCACTTCAGTATCTTTGCCAAGAAAACCCTCAGTGAGGTCACAAAGAGTCGGATGTGACTGAAATAAGTGAACAACAACTCCTATTTGAGGATGCCAGGCCCCAGCTAGAAGAGCCCAAAGAGATATGACTCTCACCTTTACTTATTCCATGAAGATGGGCACATGTGCTCTGGCTCCATTGGGAAAGGCATATGCTCAGGGCCCTTGCTTATGGGCATGTACAACCAAAGACTCTTATTTGGTCTTCATGCATCCCATGAATGGGGTCTATGCCAAAGAGGATTGGTCACTTAGTCAAGAAGAGCCACCCACTCTGTGGGCTATAGAGAGCAAAGAGAAAAGGCTTCTGGTCTCTTTTAAAGTAGCCCCTTTGTTAGGACACAGCCAGTGCCACCTCTGCCTTGGATGTGCTCCCTGCCCCTCAGTGGCTCTGATGAGGTACAGGCTCTGGAAACCCCCTCCTTGAATTCTCCTTGAATTTTCCTGCTTGAGAAGTAAATTTCACAGGAGGCTATAATCCCCTCAACTGGCCTTTCCTTATTGCCTATACCCAATTCTCAGTTACCCTTAACCTAGCCCAGCCCTTCATTGTCTATTACCTCCAGATCTCCTTGCCTCAGCTACTTCCCACCCTTGATCCTATCTGGACCTCATTCTCTAGGTCCCTGGTGTTCCACCTCCCAGTCACTCCAGCTTACTGGCCACTCCCATCAAGATCCTCCTTACACCCCTCCTCCAGTCACCCCAAACTACTTAGTCACTCCTAGATCCCTCCCATAGTCTTTCTGTATATAAGATCCATCTTGGCCACCATTAAGGTGCTCAGATTCTTAAAATCTGCCCAAAGGCTCAAATTCAATCTAGCCCGCTTGTCAATATGAGTGTCACAAATGTTCGGATTCCTTAAGAGTCTGGCCAATATGGCAGATCTTTAACAAACCCTGTCTTTGTCTGAAAGAAGGCTTGGATTGAATTCATTTGGGCAAGACCCGGAAGTGAGAGTCCCAGCATTCCTAAACCCCTAAATCTCAATAGCTCCTTTGCCCCCAGCAACAACATGCATGTAACCGCAAGAATATGTGCTTGTCTAGGCAACCCTGAGGCTGGACCTTAAGTTTCTGGCTGCTTCTTCTGTTTTGTGTCTTTCCAGGAGCCCAGGACACCAAACAGCAGTCCTAAGAAAAGATATTTCCAGACCCCTCAGTAAATTCTTGAGGTTAAGAGGTGTGGGTCCACAACTACTCCTTGGTGGAGATGACTGTAGCTAAGTAAAATACTAAGACTGAAGGGCCATGCTTTGTCTTGCCAGCATATCTGGACTTGTGGTTTGTTCTTGATGAGGATGGGATCTAGATCCCAAAAAGGAAAAACCCTGGACTTTCCCACTCTGGGTTTGCCTGAGGTTATAATCCCATCAATTGGCCTTTCTTTGTGGCTACACCCAATCTCCCAATTCTCTGTTACCCTTAACCTAGCTTAGACCTCCCTAAATCCCCCTGGCCACTTCCCACCCTTAATCCTATTTAGGCTCCATTCTCCCTAGGCCACCCCTGGAGTTCTATTACCTCATATACTACTTGGCCACTCCTAGATCCCTCCCATAGTCTTTTTGTATATAAGACCCATCTTTTCTCCATTAAAATGCTCAGATTCTTATAATGTAGCCAAAATGCTCTGATTCTGACAATCCAGACAATAGCACACTAACATTCAGACTCCTTAAGAGTCTGCCCAATATGACAGATGTTCTAATAAACCTTGTCTTTGGCTAAAAGAAGCTTGGGTCGAATTCTTTAAGGCAGGACCCACCTGTGATTTTGGGGTCCCAGCACCCCTAAACCTCAACACTCTGACAGTTCAGATTGGAGGTTAATATGAAATACTGAATTTGAAGTTGTCTTTACCACATGGTAGAATACAACAGGTGACAGGTTGTTCTTTTATGTTTTAACTATTTGTTAATGTTCATTTATGAGTCTTTTGTGACTTAAGCATTTCTTTTTGGTAGAAGAAATAATAGTTACTTCGCATGTTCTAGAAAGACCTTTCCTCATGCCTTTTAGGGAAGATCTTACATATTAGCATACCTAAGTTTGTTTAAGAGGTTTTCTCCTGGTTGAGTCCTGCTTTTATCTTTCAAGGGAGAACAGTTTTGTCCATGCTCCCAATTTTCTGGGAACTACCTCTGAATCTGCATCTACATTGTGGCTCCCTTACAATCACCCTGTTGACTTCTCTCAGGCAAGATGGAAATTCTCCCCCCATCTCCCCTACCCCCATGGCCACTCCAGCTCCTTTTCAGAAGTCTTTTAGTTTCAAAGTCAAGGAAACTTAGGGAACACTATGTAAATGTCTGTGGGCAGACATTTCTATTCCTCCAGTTTCCATGGAAACTTAGGAAAGAGTGAGCCTGAAGTTATACTTATATTTTTATTGTGTATTCCCATATCTATTTCTGAAGCCTACACATCAGATTCCTACATAGAATCTTACCTGAGCCAGGCCTAATGTTCTCTCTGGGAGCATAACTGATAAGGAAGGTAGCTCAAAGAAAGGGGTTCAGTTCTCTGAAGGCTAGAAATTAGAAGACTAACCTAACTTACAATTTGTGAAGAAGGCAGCAGATTTACAAGCCATTTTTTTATCTTTATAGGACCTCAAGGGCTATGAATAAGCAGAGTGACACATTTTTCTCTTTAAAAACTGCAGCGTAGACTGCTCATCTGACAATTTGGAAGAGACAAAATCTCAAAGCTTGGAAACGGTAGGCATGAAACAACTTTCAGTGAGGTTATCTGTTAGTAATGCTTACCCTGCTAAATCAAGGACATGAATTGCTGGAATTATATTTGTACCATCACCAAAGACTGGTAATGTAAGCGTTTCACCTAACCATGCCATCTGTAAAAAAATAAAAGTTATGAGCTTTAATGTCAATTTCAGTTACTTGTCTAGTTGTCCTGGATAAGGAGTAACTTATTCTAAGAAGCAACTAGGATATGATGACATGATGACAATAGTTTTATTACCTGGATACCTGGAACAAATGTTCTGGTATCACAGAACTGTTCAATCTTTAACTTCTGACAGTTGGAAGGGAACTTTATAGATCATCTAGTCCAGTGGTGTCAAACTCAAATAGAAATGGATTTCCCCTGTGGGCCACATACTGACTTAGAAAATCACAAATTAACATTATCTATGTTTTATTTTATTTTTAATTATTTTGTTAAACATTTCCCAATTACATTTTAATTTGGTTCTGGCCGGACTGGGGAGTTTTGCAGGTTGTGAATTTGACACCTCTGATAGAGTCCACCTCTTACCTGAGGTATAACTATGTTTTATATATTCCTTAATAAAACATGTTTATAACTAATATTTGCTCTCATGTTATGTTAGTATCATGTATTACATGCAGGTTAATGATGGTTTGTATGTAAGAAAAGGAGTAAAAATATCATCAAGGATACAAGCCTGGAAAAGGAAGTGAGCTTGACATGTGGAAAAGACGGGACAGTAACAGAAATCTTTCAGTTACATCCACCCCAGTTCTGTAGTGGTGGCATCCACAAAGTAGTAAAAGAACCAGAGGAAGATCTCTAGCTTCTTGAATAGAGTGTTTATAGAAGATTTATAGAAATACATTGACAAAAACTGCATAGGATAAGAAGGTGTGAATGTGTGTGTGTGTGTGTGTGTGTGTGTGTGTGTCGTAGCAAACAATAGTTTTAGTACATATGATATTTTTCAATGTGTCTATAAAAAACTGATACAGAAATTCTGTTAAGAAGCCCCAGTGAATGCGGCTGTTCCTCTGCCTCCCTCATGAGATACTGCTTAGGTTTAGTCCCCTGCCAGGACTGGCATGGTTCCTTCTACCCAGGAGATGAGGGCTATCTTCCCTGAAACCCTGGAGAGGTAAGGGGTGGGGGTGGGGGCACAGGCCCAGCCACCATTTGCTGTGATAGAAAAAGTCCAGGACGCTCTGGCACTCACTTCCCATGTGACCCTGGGTAAGTCATAACTTCTCTGAGTCTTTTTCCTTATTTATAAAACAGAGTGTAATACTTACATCACTGACCTCAAAAGGTGGATTTGAGGAGGGCATATAGTAAATCCTAAAGTACCATAGGAATGAAGTTACTATAATTTATACAAATTCTCTTCTTCTCCCTCCCTCCCAATTTTATTTAAACAAAACAAATGATCTGATTAAGATTTTTAACCAAAGACTTCAACCTACACTTCAATATTCATCTAAAGATCATGTTTTCCCTGTTTTCAAGGAGCTGAAACAGAAATACAACATTCATTCCACATCTATCTGGTAGGATGATGATGTCCAGGTGTTTTGGGGGTCAGCAAATTGGGAAAGTAGTCTAGGATTCTCTGATTACCGGAAAATACATCATCTATATCAAGTTTATGCAGAATGAAAAAGCTAATAAAGTAAATGTGCATGTGGGCATACACTCTAGCAAGATGGTTATCCCTAGCTAAATCTGAACAAAGATTACAAAAAGATTCTTAATCATAAACCCAGATCTTGACAAGATGGAAAGTAGAAGTGCTAATATAAAGAAGAAATCATTAGGAAGAATGGCAGTTAAAGTGCACAAAAAGACCCCTTTTTTTTTTAAGAAAAATTCAATTAAACAAAAACATATGAAGCACTTACTACAGGCAAGACACTGTACAAGGTACTAGAAATAAAAAGATGAACAAGCAATCTTCAAGAACATTAGAATCTAGTTAGGCCAGGCAGCTTTCACTAAAAAACAAGGAGGAAATCTTGAAATATAATAAATATTCCAAAAGGCAAAAGATTTAGGCTTATTACCAAAAATAGCTTATCCTGCAAAGCTGAGTATAGTCCTACAAGGAAAAAAATGAACGTTTACACAACAGAGGACTTCTAAGCATTTCTGATAAAATGATCAGATCTGCTAGGGACATTGAAAAGCAAACACAAGAGTCCAGAGACAGCCAGATAGACATATTTATTCAAGAAATTGGAGGAGATATACAATGATATAACGCTGATACTAGTAGAGGGAGAAGAAACAAGTGTGTCTTCAGAACCACAATGTTTTCAAAGGGTATTGAGGAAGTTAATAAGAAAAATGGAGGTCTACTTGGAGGTAGTTTAGTTTTGTTTTGAGGGTTTTAAGACGGGAAAGGAAAAGGAGACTGAAAGGAGTTAGAAGGGGGTGGAAATTTGCTATTTCTCATAACTGGGCTGATAATATACTAACATGAAAGGAGGAATGGAAAGGGTATAATATGAACCCTCACTTTCATCTGAAATAGTCAAAGTAGGTTTGAACACACACACACACACACACAGAGTTTGATGAAGAAATACATCAAACCAGGAAACAAAAACGGTAGAGTTGGGTAAAAGGAAATACAAGCAGAACAACTTCCTAATCCTGAAGAAGGTGATTAAAAGGGGTGATGGTGTGGGAAAAAAGAAAAGAACTAGTCAACCAGTTCAGCACCTCACTGTCAGTCTCAATCTCACTCACCCCATCCAATCAGTTGCCAGGTCTTACTGTTTTTACTTCCACAACTCTCATACATGTCCTCTTCTCTTCACTCAAACAGCCACCACACTAGTTCAGGCCTTCAACACCTCTCTCCTGGACTATTATTACAAGAATTTTCTAACTCAAGTCTTCTACCACTCTAATAGAGCTAACTTAAGAGCTTTGGCTTAGCTGCCAAAGTGATTTTCCTAAAACATAAGTTTGACCATATCATCTTCCCTACTCAGTGGACTCCAGTCCTATTACCTCTGAGTAATAAAATATAAAATCTTGTTTCACATCTAAAGTTCCTCATAACCTGGCCTCTTGCTTTACTGTGTAAATAAAATTGTGGTATGTTTTCAAGGTTTATTGACCTCAGAACTTATAAGAGGTGTTGGTAGATACCCTGAGGACAATGCCCAATGTCCTTCTGGGTGGGTGTAATAGAGTCACATAAGTGAGAGGTGCTCAAAATGTACTTGGGTTCTCTATGTTACAAAGGAGCCTTTGAGACAAGGGTTATTTGTGTGTGTGTGTGTGTGTGTGTGTGTGTGTGTGTGTATGTAAAGTCAAATGTTGCCTTCTCTGAGTCCCCTTGGTCAGTAAAGACCTTTTCCCTTGTATCTCACATGGTGCTTTATTTCACAACTCTGTAATAACCTAATCACAGAATGTTGAAGGGAGGGAGAAAAAAAAACAAAAATATGAATACTCATTGAAGTAAATTATCTAACATCATTACAAAAAAACAAAAACAAAAACATTTTTGGCAAGTCTTATTTTTTGGTCTGGACCAGATATTTTATTTGGATAGGGATCTCTGCAGTCAGTCAACAAGTCAATAAACACTTATTAAATGCCTACTATGTGCCATGTGTTGTACTAAGCACTGGGGATTCAAAGAAAGGCAAAAGATAGTACCTGCCCTCAAGGAGCTTATAATCTAATAGAGGAGATAATAAGCAAACAGATATTTTCTTTTTTTTCTTTTTTTTCTTTTTTTTTTTAACAAATAGATATTTTCAAGCAAGCTATATACAAGATAAACAAGAAATAATCAACAGAGGGAGGCACTAGAATTAAGAGGGATTGAGAAAGTCTTCCTATAGAAGGTGGGATTTTAGCTAGGTTTTGAAGGAAGACAAAGGAAGTCAGGAAACAGAGATGAAGAGGGAGAGTATACCAGGCATGGGGGATAGACAATGAAAATGCCTGGAGCCAAGAGATAGAGTGCCTCATTTAAGGAAGAGCAAGAAGGTCAATGTCACTGGACTGAAGAGTGTGTGTGGGGATGGGGGAAGCGGTTTAAGGAAAAAGATGACTGGAAAAGTATGGAGTCTAGTTTATAAAGAGCTGTGAATGCCAAGCAGAAGATTTTATATTTGATCCTGGAGATGAAAGGGAGACACTGGACTCTACTGGCATAGGAGGGTGATAGGGTCAGGTCTGCATTTTAGGAATGGACTGGAATGGGGAGAGACTTGTGGCAGGAGGACCAACCAACAGCTGTCCATGCATGAGGAGACAAGGTCCTACACTGGAGTGGTGGCAGTATCAGAGGAGAGAAGGCATATTTGAGAGATGACTACAAAGGTAAAATTGACACTCCTTGGCAACAGATTGAATATAAGAGGTGAGAGATAATGAGGAGTTGAAGATAACACCTAGGCTGAAAGTCTAGGGGCCTGGGAGCTTGCTGGTGCCTTTGACAGAAATAGGGAAGTTTGGAAGAGAGGAAGATTTTGAGGAAAAGATAATGAGTTCAGTTTTGAACATGCTGAGTTTAAGATGTCTGCAGGACATCCAGTTCAAGATGTTTAACTGGCAGCTGGAGATATAATACTGGAGGTCGGCAGAGAGGTTATGGATGGATAAATAAATGTGAGAATCATTAGCATAGAGATAATAACTGAATCCATGGGAGCTGATGAGATCATGAAGTGAAATAGTATAGAGGGAAAAGAGAAAAGGGCCTAGGACAAAGGACAGGGTCTTATGGGACACCCATGCTTAACAGGCATGACCTGGATGAAGATCCAGCAAAGGAGCCTAAGAAAGAATGGTCAGATAAAGCAGGAGGAGAACCAGGAGAGAATAGTATCCTGAAAACCTAGGGAGAAGAGATTATCAAAGAGAAAAGAGTGATCAACAGTGAGGCCAAAAAAGATGAGGACTGAGAAAATGCCACTGGATTTGGCAATTAAGAGATCATTACTAACTTTGGAGAGAACAGTTTCAGCTGAATGATGAGGTCAGAAGCCAGATTGTAAAGAGTTAAGAAGAGAGTGAAAGTAAGTAGAGATACCTATTGTAGATAGCCTTCTCAAATTTAGTCACAAAACACTAGGAGACATATGGAATAATAGTTGGCAGGGATGGAAGGATCAAGTTAGGGTTTTTTGAGGATGGGAGAAACTTCCTCTTCCAACAGATGAGCAACTGTTCTGAAATTTATAGTCTTAGTTAATAAATATTTAGTAAGCACCTACTATGTGTCAGGCATTGTCTAAGCCCTGAGGAAAAGAAAGAAAGGCAAAAGACAGTCCCTGCTTTCATGGAGCTCAGAGTGTAATGAGGGAGAACACATGGACACAATTATGTACAAACAAACTTTATACAGGATAAATTGTAAATCAGCAAAGAGAAGGCATTATAATTAAGGGAGATTGGGAAAGCCTTCCTGTAGAAGGAGGAATTTTGACTTGGATGTTAGCTAAAAGAAGCCAGGAGGCAGTGATGAGGAGGGAGAGCATTCCAGGCATGGGAGACAGCCAGTGAAAATGCCTGAAGCTGAGAAATAGAGTATTTTGTTCTAGGAACAACAGGAAAGCCATTGTCATTGGACAGGGGTGTTGTAAGATGTAAAAAGATTGGAAAGGTAGTAAAGGGTGAGGCAGGCAGGTTACGAAGGGCTTTGAATGACAGAGGATTTTATATTTGATCTGGGAGGTGAGAGGGAGCCACTGGAGTTTACTAAGTAGGGAAGGTGACATGATCAAATCTGTGCTTTAGGAAGATTCCTTGGAGAGCTGAGTCGGGGATGGACTGCAGTAGACAGAGACTTGTGGAAGACAGACCAACAAGAAGGCTACTGCAATAGACCCAGCGTGGTGAAGAGGGCCTGCACTAAGGTGGAAGCAGCGTCAGAGGAGAGAAGGGGGTGTGTTCAAGAGATGCTACCACAACAAAATCATCTAGAATTCCTTGCTCACAGTCACACAGTGGTATGGGCTAGAGGCAAGACTTGAAACTCCATCCTGACTCCAAGGCCAGCTCTCTATTCACCATACCACAATGCTTCCCAGGGGTTAAGTCTGCAGACATTAATGAAAGGGAGAAAACCATTTCTTGCTTTCAGGTAAGTTCTAGACCAGACTAGAAACAAGGAGTTTAGTGATAAAATGTAGATATATAGCACTGTACTTGTGTCAAACGCTAAAGTGATGTAACATATGAAATGCATCATTTTCTTATTTTTTAAAGGTTTCTGCAGCTTCCACTAAATATTAGCCCTATTTTGAATCTGACAATTCTTGGTTATAAGTAGGGAAAAAAGAATTAGGGGTCAAATTCTATCTCTACACATTTTCCTATAGATTTTAAAGTTATACAGTCCCAATTATCATACAAAAAATAAATGTCATATCTTAAAGCTCAAAAATATATTACTATAAGTTAACAAAATTATAAAAGAGCATACCTTAAAAAATAAATGTAAGATGCCTTCTTCTGCTCCATAAATTAGTCCAGAAGCAACTACATAGGTTGCAAATTTTTTGTTCTATTAAATAGAGTACAAAAGACAGTTATATGTAATATTATAGTGCTAAAATGGTATTTTAGAAGTTTACACAACTCTGTTAGGATACAATCCTATGAATTAAGATAGAACAAAGTATACTAACATAATGCTTAGGGAAAGGGGACAGAAAGAGACAGGAAAAAAGAGGGGAGAAGTTAATAATAATAATTTACATTTATATAATATTTATTAACAAAGCAGGTAGTTATGAAGTGTTTTGCATGTGCAATTTCATTTGATCCTGACAGCAATCTTTTAAGACAGATTAGTATTATCTTTTTAACAGATGAATGGTTAAGTGACTTGTACAATCAAATAGTTGATAAATGGCAGAAGTGGAATTTGAATACATGTCTTCTGACTTTGAGCAGTATATTTTGTACTAGGAGAAATAAAAAGGAAGAAAAGTAATGCCTAGGAGAATACATAACATATCAACCAATTCATCGTGTATATTTTGTATCCCTTAGTTTCCACAATCATTAAATAAGGAACATTTAATGAGCAGTAATTACTGGCATAGCTGTAGTCAGTGAACTGAAGGAGTCCATGCAATTCTAGTGGTACCTAACTTAGTACTTCTAAGTACTAGTTTAGGAATTATGGGAATCCAGTTCAATAGTGAGTCACATGGGTGCCAATCTGCTACATGTAAGATAGAATTGAATTTTTTCTCATGAATTTAACAAAAATATATTTTAAGTAGTATTGATTCACTTACAATGCAAAATATTACTTGGTCTGTGTTTATTGAGGTATACATCTAACAGAAATCAACTGTATTATTATATAATTAATCCTCCAAAGTTCTTTGGTAATAATTACTTTTTTTAATTCAATTTTTTTCAGGTCTGAATTCTCTCCTTTCTCCTCTCTTCTATTCTCTCCCTCTCCCCACATTGAGAAAGTAAGAAAAACAAAACTCATTACAAATACGTATAAGTAAAGCAAAACAAGTTCCTACATGGTCATGTTAAAAAATGTTACAATAGTAATTTTAAATCTATCATTTCTTTATCTGGAGATGGAGGGTATATCTCATCATAAATTCTCTGGAATTGTGGTTGGTCATTGAGTTGATTGAAGTGCTTAAGTCTTTCAAAGTTGCTTGTCTTTACAATACAGTTACCATTGTTAAAATTGTTCTCTTAGGTCTGCTCACTTCACTTGGCATCAGTTCATATAAGTCTTGCCAGGTTTTTCTGAAACCATCTGTATCATTTCTTACAGCACAATAGTATTCTATTACATTCATATACCATAGCTTATTCAATCATTCCCCAATTAATGCACTGTCCCTCAGTTTTCAATTCTTTGTCACTATGAAAAGAGCTACTATAAATATTTTTGCATATTTAGGTCCTTTTAAATTTTTCTTTGATCTCTTTGAGGTATCAACTTGATTATAATTCTTAAAATTTCATTAATTTTTCAGGAGATTCCATGTCTTGTATTTTTTGTATTCTCCCACAATTATTAGCAAAGAGCTTTAGATAGGCACTCAATGAACATTAAAAAAATTTAACATGATTTATTTTTGACACTGATCTATTCAAACTGACTTAGTAATTACAGTAAATTCCAAATATTAATCATAGGTGAGTAAGACATTATATTTGAATTAAAGTAGCAACAAGGGTGACCCACTCGAATGCTTGGGCACAGACTCAAAGCAAAGTATATGTGTAGGGGGCAGTATAAAACTATTAGGTAATAAGTTCACCTGGGCAACTTATTCAGTAATTTAGGTAAAAGTAAATTTGATGAAGTAAACCAATAAATGAAAGGAATAAGTGTCACAATGGAAATGAATATATTTCTAACTTTTTTTTTTTCAGGCAATTGGGGTTAAGTGACTTGCCCAGGGTCACACAGCTAGTAAGTGTCAAGTGTTTGATCTGAGGCTGGATTTGAACTCAGGTCCTCCTGACTTCAGGGCCGGTGCTCTATCCGCTGTGCCACCTAGCTGCCCCTTTATAAATTTCTATTTTTTGGGGGGGTGGCAATGGGGTTAAGTGACTTGCCCAGGGTCACACAGCTAGTAAGTGTTATGTGTCTGAGGCTGGATTTGAACTCAGATCCTCCTGAATCCAGGGCTGTTGCTCTATCCACTGCGCCACCTAGCTGCCCCTAAAGTTTTTTTTTAGTACCATTCATCATAGTCTTTATAAAATCATAGCATTTTTAAGAGCTAGAAGGAACCTTAGAAGGCATCTAGTGGAACTTTCCAAAGAGAAACCTAAGGCTCAGAGGGATTTCCTATATATACTCCTATTTAAAGATGATGTTCTTAATTACATCAAATCCCAGATTACTGAAGATCTCCTAAATGAGATCTTTAATTACATAAAACAGTTCAACTTAATTATATACACAGGAATAAACAACTGGGATGTCTCATCTAGACTGGCAATTAATTGTATATGCAACTCTCAAAGCTAGTCTCTCAATTCTCTCTTGGACATGAGGTTAAATAACAAGATATGTGATCTCACTGAGGTGATATTGCCTGCAGAGATACAGATCTCAACCCATCTATGCCTGCCCACTCATTGTGTGACTCTCACTCATTTCTTCTCATAATGTGACCATAAGTGGCCTACTCAATATGCTGTGGGTCTTTGTCCCTGTCTCCTGACACTGCAAGAACACCAACAGAGTAAATGGACTGTTTTCAAGTTCTTCTCCTACCTGTTTAATTGTTCTTCATTTCTTTCTTTCTCTCTCTCTCTTTTTTTTTTTGGTGAGGCAATTGGGGTTAAATGACTTGCCCAGGGTCACACAGTTAGTAAGTGTCAAGTCTCAGGTCTGAGACTGGATTTGAACTCAGGTCTTCCTGACTCCAGAGTCAGTGCTTTCCATTGCGTTACCTAGCTGCCCCTGTTCTTCATTTCTTTAGTTAGATCATTATCCATCTTCCACTCCCTAAAATGTTCATTGCAGGGAATACTATAGCCCTGATAAGTAACTCAAGTCAGCCATGATTTCTGATTAAAAATGTACAAATATAGTTAGTACAAGAAAGAATTATATCCCTATAAAGAAGATTTTAAGTAAAGATAAGAGATTTTGACACTAGATACTATAACCTCTCTGCTTGCTTGCTAAATGGTTAAAAATTTGGTAGTGTGTGTGTGTGTGTGTGTGTGTGTGTGTGTGTGAACTCACTGTAACTTCTTGTAAACCCCCTGCTTGATTGTTAAAAGTTCAGTAGTTGTTTTTTTTCCTGCTGTTTGAATTCCTGAATTCTCTGAGAAGCAATCTCCAAGGCCACTAAAATAACAGTTACCATTTCCAAGGCCATTCCTTAAGATAGTAGTGAGAAACTGTACCAGGCAGGCTGCCCATCATAAGATAACAGCTGACTCCCAACATTGCTGAATGTATGCTAAGGGATGGGTAGCCTAAAAGTACAACCATTTATCTCCCACAATTGTAGATAGAAAAAGAATTTTTGAACAAATAAGGGAGAGAGAAGATCATAGATGATAAAATAGATAATTTTAATTACATAAAATTGAAAGATTTTGCACAAACAAAACCAATGTTGTTAGAATTAGAAGAGAAACAGTTAAGTAGGGAAAAATCTTTACAGCAAATTTCTTTGAAAAAAATTTGATATCCAAGATATATAGGGAATTAATACAAATATATAAGAACAAGAGTCATTTCACAAAAGACAAATGGTCAAAGGTTACTGACAAGCAGTTCTTAAAAGAAGAAATGAATATCATTAATATAATATAAAAAATACATCAAATCATTAATAATAAAATTAATGCAAATTAAAATGCCTTTAAGGTTCTACTTCATACCCACTAGACTGGCAAAGATTGTGAAAGGAAAGGAAAATTACAATTGTTTATAAGACACGAGAGGACAGGTACACTAAAGCACTATTAATACAGGTACAGATCACTGTTTCTTGGCCAATTAGTTCTCTCCTCAAATTTCTAAAGTAGCACCTATTTTGCAAACTTTAAAGTGCTAGATAACTGTAGCTCTATTGATTGTATTTGGAATCTTTTGTAAGCACCTGATGAAGTTGAGAGGAGGAGTCAACCTTCCCAGAAAATAATATCAGGAGGAGCATCCAGACCTAACCAAATATATACAGAAGAGATCTGTGCAGGAAGTGACAAGATTTGAAAAGCATTCAGGGATATTTCTCAAAGAAGATTCCAAAAATATGGAAAATATTACAGCTGACTTTATTTCCAAAAGGAGATAGCCAATATGCCTAAACTTTCACAGGCAATTTTCTACAACAAACCACATCTTCACTTTCACATAACTAAATAAGAAATGTAGATAATATAAGATTTCACTGTGTCTATTGTTAAGTACAAAAAAGGGCATTCTACTTATTAGAGGAAATTGCAAATTTAAATGTCTTTTTCCAAACAAGATGCATAGGTGAAGATCATTATAAATGTCACCAAGGAGGCAACTGTTCAATAACCCACTGAGTGTCAACTTCAAATGAGGCATATACCTACCATATGGTTCTCTATTTTCAAATATTCCATATTCACCAGTGTCATGGAGATAGCCTGGTACAAGATCAAAATAGATGACTGATCCCCTATTAATGGAAATTTTGTACAGATGCTCCTATTTGTAGATGGCCTTGTGCCAATGTCCTGGGTAGCCTTTCTATTGTCCAGTGATTTATGTGATTGCTGTGATCTGGTTCATGATTAAAGGGTGTTATTGCTTCTTGAATTTCTATTTATATAAATAAGGCTAAGTGAGAGACCAAGTCCCTGCCTGGAATTGGATCCATTTATGACTTACTATATACTGAAATTTTGAGTACCATGCCCATTTTGCAAGACTCCTTTCCTTAGTAGAAGAAATATTTGTATTAAGTATAGTTAATTTTTACCCCTTTCTGTTTCCATTTTGAGTTAATGGTTTTCTGTGAAGCATAATTGCTTGTAACTTTATCTATTAAAAATTCAACAAGTAAGAAAAAA